GTCCCAGGCGGGCGTCACAGCACCAGCAGGCGATGGCTGAAAACCAGCAGTTCGTTTTCTCGGTTCTGGAGCCTGAAGTTGTGGTGTTTGTCCGGCTGGTCCTTTCTCAAGGCTCTGAGCGAGAACCTACTCCACATCCGTCTCGAGGCTCCGGGACGCCCTGGCTTGCGGTCACATCCCTCTGGTCTCTGCCTCTGTCTTCACGGGCCTCTGCCCCCGTGTGCGGCGCAGACCTCCCTCTCCTTCCTCTCATTAGGACACCAGAGTTGGATTCAGGTTCCCCCCAAATCCAGGGTGATCTCATCCTGAGATCTTTGACCTAATGACGTCTGCAAAGAGCCTCTTTCTAAACCAGATCACATCATAGTTTGGACTGGATATACCTTTGGGTGGCATGGTCAACTCGCCTCCCCATGCAGGGCTGGTTGATGCCGTGAACCTACATCTCCCCCTCTTTGGGTGCAGGTGTCGCCCCCTCCAGGGGGCCCCCCAGTCCAACCTGAATTCCAGATAAACGGGGAGTGAGTTCAAGCCTGAGGGGCTGTATCTGGCAGCCCTAACAGCAGTGGGAGGGATAGGGAGCTTATAGCCTTAGTGGCAGGTGGCAGGGATGAGAGACCCCCAGAAGTGGGCCCTGAGTCAGTCAGGTGAGTGGGAGGGGGCCTGTAAGCTGGGGCCCGAGGGCTGAGGAAGAGCTAAGGTTCTGGAGGCAGAGCATGGAGACGGGCCAGTGGGGTAACAAGGCCCAAAGGGCAACCCTGACCCTTTGCAGCATCTGGAGCCAGGGAGGCTTCTACGTGGCCTGACCAGACAAGCACTTTCGAAAAACGGAGGCGCGTGGGGTTACGGGTGCCAAGGAGATGGCCTCTGAAGAAGAGGAAGAGAGCAGCGGCCAACTGTCGCGGAGACTCACAAAGGTACGGGCTGAGCCTTGTGCCTCGGAAAACCCTGGCGGCGTCCGGGAGAGCCACCTCGGGCTGTGGAAACAGAAACCAGGCTCGGTGGGCAGGGACGTGAGCAGTGAAAGGAGGAGGCAGAGACAGGGAGGCCACTATTTCCACAAGTTTTTGAGCAGGAATGGAGTGGGCTGGAGAGCACCCAGAGGAGCAGGGTGGAGGGAGGCTGGGGAGTGAGGGGGGAGCAGGGGAGGAGGGAGGAGCCTGAGGGGAAGAGGCCTGGGGCTGGTCTTGGCCAGAGGAGGTCCAGCTACCTGGGCAGCAGGAAGGGTGGGGGCTGTGCACGCAGATACTTTTTGGGAAATCCAGGGACGCAGTGTGCCTTCTGTGCCGGCCCCCGCCCCCGGCCAACCCTCTCCCAGGCTTGCTCCCAACACAGGAGACAACGGGGGAGCACCGGTTCGGCCCCCCAGCCCTGCTGAGCAAATGAATGCGTGAATAGCGGGGAGCTGAGGACTATGGAGAGAGGGGGCCAGAGCGAGGTAGAAGAGCGGCTGTGTAGGGAGGCAGAGGAGGGGAGAGGGATGCGGGTGGCGGCGGCTGGGGACAGTGTCCCTGTCCTCGGGGGTCAGCAGCGTGTGTCCAATGGGGCGAGGCTGGAGGGAGTGGTGAGTGAGGCAAGGTCCGCAGCCGGGTCCACAGGAGTAGAGGTTTGGCCGAAAGAGAGGCAGGGCCGGTGGGGCAGGGACTACGGACTTTGCGCCCTGGGAGGGGACTCCTTTCCCACTGCAGGTCCCTGCGCGGCCTTGCCTCAGCCCAATTCGGCACTCATGCTCCTCTAATTCTCACCACCGGACTGGGAGGAGATGGAGCTGTGCAGATGGCCGGATTGGTGGTCTGGTATCACGGGGTGCGGGGCCTCCTCAGGCCTCTCTCTCAGGGTCTAGTGGCTGTCACCTCCCCAAGGGACTGTGGGCCTCACCTTCTCGGCCTTGTCTGGTCTCCAGCAAATTCCAGCCTGGAGGAGAGGGCAGTCCCGAGAGTGAGGAGTGGCAGAAGAGAGCCAGCACAAGGCCGGTCTTTTCCCTGCAACAGCTCGCTGTGAAGTTCAATGTGGTAAAGAGACTAGGGAAGCCCAAACAGGGAGGGGGCGGGCACTGGAGCCCCCACCTTGCCCCTCCTCCCTCAGTTAAATCCCCTTGCCCCACCCACTCAGGCTTTCCTGGCTCTGAAAATAGAATTCCCTCCCCTGGAATCTCATTGCCTCCTCCTCCTTTAAGGGCAAGTTCAGAGGGCCCCTCTTCCTACCTCGGCTGCCCTCTGCCCGCCCCGAGCTCCCTCTTCTGGTTCCCAGGGTGCTGGCAGCCACATGTCCTGACGGAGGAAGAGGCTGCAGGCTGGAGTCACTCTAATCTCCCTGAGGCCTCTCCAAGGTCTCAACCAGTCTCATCCAGGGCTGACTGTGCTGAACCTGGATCTCCAGACTGGCCCTCTCCCCAAGGTCCAGATTGGATCACTCCACATCTCCACGGAGAATGTCTGAAAGACACCTCAATCCTGCGGTGGCCAGACAGATTTCTGGGTCTTCCCCCACCCCCCTCGCTCCTTCTGAAGCCGTCCACCACTCAGTGGAAGCCACCCTGTTTGCCAGTAGCTCAAGCTAAAAACCTTGACGGTATCTTGGCTTTTCTCTCCCTCCCACACCCACGTCCAATCTGCCAGCAGGTCCAGCTGCTCCGCCGTCAGCAGACATGGGGAGCAGAGCTCCTCTCCCGCCTCCACTGCTGTCCAGCTGGGCACCTTCCCCTTGGCCTTGATTAGGAGCAGGGCCTCTGTACTGGCCCTCCTTTGAACTTGCCCCTGTACTCTCTTCTGACCCAGCGGGGAGGGTATAAGCACAGAAAGCAGCACTACTGTTCCCTCTCGATGGCATCTCCTGGTCCCCTCTAGTCCTAAAGTCTTTCAAACCTACAAGCCTTAAATGATCCTGTCCTGACCTGTCTGATTTCACCTCCCACTGTTCTCCCAGTCACACTGTTCTCACTTCTTGTAGTTCCCCAAACATTCCAATCATGCTCCTGCAGGGGGGGGGGGGCAGGGGGGTTGCCCTGGTTGGATTCCCAGCCTGAAGATCCCTCCCCCAGATATCTTCAGGTCTTGCTCCTTCACCTCCTTTAGATCTTGACACTCACATGGCCTTGTGCGTGCCTACCCTGTACATCCTTGTTAAAACTACTAATCCTGACTTTCCCGAGACCCTTCCCTGCTTTATTTTCCTCCATGGGCCTTAGGTCACCTAACATAGGATGACTTTTACCTATTATTTAATTACCTGCCTCCTCCTTCTAGAATGCAACTTCTAGGAGGGTGGTACCTTTTCTGTTATTGTTTTCCCTGTTCCCTGGGACAATGCCAGGCACATGGAAGGGACCCAACAAACGTTACCTGAGCGCCTGTTGGGGACTCAAAACACTGCACTGAGAGTGGAGAGTGAGCAAAGCCGACCAGGTCTACCAGCCCACGCCGCAGACCCGCAAACTCTGAATTACAGGGCATGACCCTGCCGGGGGAATCCTTAGGAGGGAAGACTCGGCTCCACCGCGGGGGTTCCGGGGTAGGCTCTGGGGGTGTGCAGGCTGCACAAGCTTCTCAGGCGACTGAGTTAGGTGGAGGGGGTCACTTTCTGGTCGAATGGGCTCGGCTGAAAGGAACGCTGTCCGGGAGGCCAGAGGACTGGTTCCCACAGCACTACTCGCTCCCGTGACACTGGCCACGTGTCCGAGTCCCCTCGTAACTTAGTTCGGGCCCGCCACGGCATCCCCCACCTCGGGGTGCGCCCCGGGCTCGGCAGAGCGCAGGTGCTGGAGGGTGTTTGGAGAGCGCCGAGCGGACGGTCAATGAATGGAGGAATGAGCAAATAACGGGGCTTCGGCTAGAGCAGGAACTTCAGCGCTCACCAGGAGGCGGGAACTTTCCCGAAGGCTTCCCCAGAGCCCGGGGCGCGGCTGTTTCGGCGGCCGCGGCGCGTCGGGCCGTAGGCGAAGCGGCTTCCCGGGACTGGCCCGCGGCGCGGCCACCCACCCGGCGGCCCCGCCCCTGGGGCCCGGCGGCTGTTGCCGTGGCGACAGACGCAGCCCAGCGAGGAGGGGCGGGCCCGGGCACGTCATTGCCAGCGCGACGCGGGCCCGCGCCTCCCGCCTCTTTCGGGGGCGAGACCCTCGGGCCGCCTCCCGGTCTCCACCTGTGCGCCTCCCCCGCCCGCCTCGGCCCGCGGCTCTGCGCCGGCGCGGTGCCCGCCGGGCGCGCGGGGAACCCGGGGGCGCATGCGCGGTGCGGGGCCCGCCGCTGCTGAGGTGCCGCCGCCGCCGCCCGTTGCCGCCTCCCCGCCGGCGAGTGTGTGGAGCCGGAGCCGAGGGCCGCCGCCGCCATGGGGGTGAGTGAGGCGCGGAGACGAGACGAGCGGGCCGGGAGCGCGCCCCGCTCCCCGCGCCCCTATTGTTCCTTGACCCCCCCTCACGTGACCCCGACCCCCTCCGGCCTCACGTGACCCCCAGCCCCCACATGACTCCCCCTTTCGCAGTGTCCCCCGGCCGGCCCCTGGGAAGCCCCCGGCCCCACCCCCGCGCACCCCGCCCCTCGCCGGGCGCTCGCCGCTACCTTCCGCGCTGACCCGCTACCTGGGCCGCCCCCATCCCCCCGCGCGGACCCGGGGGTCCCCGCCGCCCCACGGCCGCCCGCTCCCTGACTGTCGCCGGCTTCGCGGCTTCCCGCGTCCTAGGCCGGCCCCGGCTTGGGGGGCGTCGAGGCCCAAAGAGAAGGAGGCCCCCAGCCAAGGTCACGGACGGTGACCGGGGAGCCAGACCCCGACCCCGGGCTCCGCATCCCCTCGCTCCCCGCTGCGCGGCTCCTCGCGGGAGCCGGTTCCCGATGCTGCCCGGAACCTCGCCGCCCGGCCCCCGCCCCCCGGCTCCCCCCGCTCCCCCCGCTCCCCCGTCCAGCAGCGGCCTGTCTCGGCGGCGGCCTCGATGCGCGGGGCGTCCTTGTTGTTACTTGGCCTCTCCGAGCCTTGATACTGCCGCCGGCTTGGCGAGGGGAAGCCGAGCCCGGGCCGGATGGGGCCCCGGTGCATCGAGACCACCTGTTCCGTGCGAGGCAGCGCCGAGGTGCAGGTGACGCCGTCCCCGGCAGGTGCTGATAGCGGGCTGGGCAGAAGTTAATCGCGGGTTTCTGCGAATTCACCTCCTTAAGTCCTAATTAGAGCACCCTCGGCCGCCCTCCGGGAATGCGGGCGGCCCTCCCTGGCACTGTGTGAATGTTAGTTCTTACATGGAATTTCCACCTCCTTAGGGAACCCTGCTGCCTCAATGCTAACCCATCTTCGCCGGCTGGCAGCACGATGTTGTGCCAGGGAGGCCACCTTTCGGAGTTTCCTCAGCTGTGTAGAGCGGATGCTTGGCAGAGACGTGGGACTGAGTGACAGAGAGGATGTGAATAGAGAAATAGGTGCCTCCTAAATAGTGGCTGTTATTGTGGCCTGCATGCCCAGCCCTTGCTTTAGGCAAATAGATTTGTGCTATGTTTAATCCCTGCTGTTATTAACCTAGATTCCTCCAATCAAATAGTTATTGACTACAGTCAACTTGTTAGACAGAAGTAGTTGCCTGATCCATGTCAAAACATGTGGTCTGGGTCAAAATACAGATCATGGTGTTTCAGTGAGAACTTTTGGTTCAGTTGGAAAAATAATTTAGTAAGTAAAACAAAAACAAAAGAAAGTAAGTTTGGGTACTTTGTACTTATCTACCAAGAAAGAGACCGTTGGCATATTTGAGATTTGGTGAAGGTCCCAGACCCCAGCTCTTGCTGAACGGAAATAAAACCTGTGTCCTATTAGTAAGTGTCCACCCAGCAGAGCAGAAAACAAGAGGCTGAGCTTGCCATTCTGGTCGCACACGTCTCCTTGCTTGAGCTGAAGGCGCAGGCCTCAGACCCTGCTGCTCTTACTTCCTTCAGGGTCCTAAGTTGTTGCTCATGTTTGTCAGGATGGCCCCTTCCTCGCGTCTAGCCTAAAACCCACTGCAAAAGAGAAACATGAACTCTCCTCCTGAAGCAGAACTGGAAACCACTCTTGTCCTCATTCCTCACAGGTGGGGACTGTGGAGTCCCCTCCTCTGTCAGGAAGTTCCTGTGTCTTGTCTCCGTGTCCTCGTAATCACCCTGCAGCAGAGGGCCCTGCCCCACCTAACAACTTGACCTCAGGGAGGGAGGACATCAGGTGGAGCACCACTCTTCAAAATTCCTTGCAGCCACGCCTGTGTTGTCTTTCAGGCATAGAATTTAAGCTCTCCAAAGACAGGTTCTTTCCAGAACTTGGATATTTTGTGGGATGGAAACATTGACACTGAAAATCTAAGAGATCCAGATCCCTTTTATGAAGATCCTCCTGCACTGGCTGATGTTTTTGTTTCTTGATCTCATTGTGCGGCCCCTCACAGTCTCGGAAGTGTGCATGCAAACTTGCCGTGGGAAGGGACGGGCTGCGTCTCACAGCTGCATGTGAAAACCACATTTCTTTGTGCTTTATAGCGACAGGGCCGCGTCCATGCTGTCAATGTAGTGGAGGGGGCATGGGCCCGAGGGTCCCCCTTGGACTTGAGTCTTGGGTGATTCATTGAGCAGTATGGCCTGCTCTCTGCTGACCTCTGGGCACACATTGGCAGGTAAAGCAGATGGGGCTTCTGGCTCACGAGCACATGGATGGTCTGGTGGGCATGGAGGGAAGAGATATTAGGAAGACCTTTATGAGAAGACCATTCCCTGGCCCTGTGAACTGGAAACTGCCTTGTCTTGATTTTCTCATCAGAAAAAGTAGGTGCTGAATATGGTAAAGAGCAGAGTAGATTATCTTCATTAAAGCACTAGCAGGGTGTCTCAGCTGAATGGGTCTTTGGAAATAGAAGTCCTTACTGTCAAGAACCAATTTTTTGACTTTTCATTGAATATTTTACTGTTAACACTTATTATTTGTACATGGATATTAGGTTCACTGAATATTCTGTTTTTTTTTTTTTTTGTTTAAAGAATTATTTATTATACAAGAACCGGGGTACAGGCCAGATTTGCGGGAAGGTGAGAGGAGTCACCAGAGACAGAGCAGGGAACAGGCAGACTGATGAAATACACTGCTGAGGGGAGAAGCGGGTGAGACAGGAGAGGTCTGCCGCGCCATGTGGGACCCTTGCTGGCTGGACGGGATCGAACCGCTGCTGCAGAGGCTGTGGACAGCTTCACAGCACTGCGCTCAACCACCTGTGCCACTAGGGGAGGCCCTGAATATTCTGTTTTATATTAGCAAAAAATCAAAGCTAATAACAACAAATAACAAATAACAACAACATAACCAGGACCCATTCCACCTCACTATCCCCCACCCCAAACTTCTGTTCACTCTGCTTCCTGGATAGTTATCTCTTTAGAAACTTGCATGGGCCTTTCTGGGTGAAGTCATCCCTTGTCACCACTCATTTGACTTCTGATCAGGCTCAGACAGACCACCTGTGAAGCCCTCACTTTCTGCCCTCGGTCTGGTCTTCTGGCTTAGCTAGCCCCTCCCCCTAAGGGTTAAGGCAGTTGGTTCACAATCAAGTTGTTAGGTGACTCTGGGTGAGCTCCAGGCAGGCCCTGGATGGTCTTGGGATGCTGGGCTTTGATTTTAGAAACAAGAAAACTATGAGAACATGTTTTTTGTCCTGGGAAAAATGGAGACCAAAGTGATAGGAAGGAGAGAGGTTGGATTTAAGTTTCTTTTTTTTTTTAAGATTTATTATTGTGTGTATAAGATTTGGGGTGTAGGCCAGAGGTGTGGGGAGGTAGGGGGGTGAGAGGATACACCAGAGAGAGTGGGGAGCAGAACAGGCAGACTGAGTGAAACACACAGTTGAGGGGAGCAGCGGGCGAGACAGGAGAGGTCTGCTGCGCCATGTGGGTTGCTCCCTTGCTGGGGATCGCACTCAGGCCATAGTGGTAATAGCACTGAGACTTAACCCCTAGGCCACCAGGGGAGCCCTGGAATTCAAGTTTCTGAGTCATTTACTGGGTAAATTGCTTTCTGGAGCCACACCCCTTTTCTACTCTGCTTTTTGAGCACCTCTGGGTTTAGGGATACCTGAGGAAGCTGTGTGTCCATATAAAGAGCTTTCATATCTGGCACCGGTACACTGTGTCCTTCTGTCCTCAGCAGCCTTGGAAGAGGTAGGCATGGGTAGCTCCATTTTAGCGATGAGGGAATTGAGATTCAGAGAAACTGAGTGAGTTGCTGAAAAGAGATTAAATAACTTGCCCAAAGTCACACAGCTCTGGAGTGCAGAAGCTTAGACTCGAATCCAGGTCTCCCTACTCGAAATCCCACTCTCTTTATCATATGAAGTGCCTTTGGGAAAGACACTTAGCCACAGTGAGCTTTACTCTTCACTCCGCTATTTCCCCTCTTAACGAGCAGAGTCTTCCCGGTCCCCGCGGGACAGTCTTACCTCCCCGAGGCATGGCCAGGCTAATGGGAGCAGTGGGAGACACTTCTGGTGCGCGCAGGGTTTGAGGGAGGGCGGCCCCCTGTCCGCCCAGCCCGCTGCAGCCCTGTGTGCTGGCTGTGAGGCGCTTAAGGGGCTCTTTCATTGTCTGCAGCCCAGCGGCGGCCCCCTCGCCTCACTCTGAGGATTGCCTGGCTTGCCTGCCTGCCCTGTGCCCATGAGCCCGTAAATCTCCTGGAGGCCCAGGTCGGCCTCCTGCTGCGTGTGCTTAGACCAGGTTTCACTGCTCGCCAACCAGAGTCACACTTCCAGCACTTCTGGCCCTTGGCTCTGGGAGGTGGTAAGAGAGCCCGTGCAGGGAGGAGGGGCCGCTGGGAGCTCAGCCGGCCTCTGACCTGTCCTTGCAGCTGCTGCGTGAGGCCCGCCTCTGTGCCCGTTTTCTTGGGGATGGAGTTGCTCTCATGAGCCGTGGAGGGGTGGCTGGAGGAGCAGTTTGGCCTCACTGGAGCAAAGCCCCTGCTCTCTCTGCCCCGCTGAGCAGCCCCAGAGGGCCTCTTTCCGAGGCGTCCCTGTTCATGCCCCAGCCTCACCAGAGACGTGGGGCTCTGGGTGCGGCCCATCATGTCAGCCTGCCAGGCTGGAAGGGCGTTGGGAAGTGTGTTGTTGAGGGTCCACCTGGAGGCTCTGCGGCCCCGGCCTGGTCTGGGCTGGGCCAGGGAAGGTCTTGGACACTCATGTAGGTTCTCAGGGCGACATCAGCATGTGCCCGGGGGAACCCAGCCCCTGGAACTGTTCCCTCTGCTGGCCACTCCCCGGGGAGCTCTGAGCAGACACAGCATCCTTTTGAGCCCCCGTTTCTTGTGTATAAAGGGAGGTGATGGTTTCTGCCCTGAGAATTGAGTCAGATGATGTACTTGAAAGCACTTTGAAGCTGTTTCTCTCCCTGCTGTCTTGAAATCCAAATTCCCAGAGAGAAAAATGGAGGCTCTAAAACTTGCATGCAGTAGAAAGGCCCTACTCTGCCCCCACCTCCCAGCCATGTGAAGTCAGACTGCTCTGGGCACCCCCTCTGGGAGACGGGAAGTTGCAGTGCGCAGACTTCGCTAGTGGGCAGCAGGTGGTGGCGGCTCCCAGGCCTGCTCTCCGCCCCAGCATCCTGGCTACTTGAAGTGGAGAGAAGCAGGGTCTGCCCTGAGGAGGTAGGGGGTGGGGGGGGATTATTTTTTAAATTTATTTATACATAGAAGAACTGGGGTATAGACCAGAAGTGTGGGAAGTGTGGGGGGGGTGGGAGGGCGAGAGGATTCACCAGAGACAGAGTGGGGAGCAGAACAGGCAGACTGACTGAAATACGCTGCTGAGGGGAGCAGCGGGGAGACAGGAGAGGTCTGCTGTGCCATGTGGGTAGCTCCCTGGCTGGGGATCAAACTCAGGCAGTAGTGGTGACGGTGCTGAGAATTTAACCCACAGGCACCAGGGAGGTTGGGGGAGGTGGGGGGAGGGTTTATCCTGAGCCAGTTTCCCAGCAGCTGCTCTTCAGCTCACCCTTTCCCAGGGCCACGGTGTGAGGAGAGGTGGCAGAACGCCGGGGCTCAGGGAAACAGGCTGGGGACAGATGAGCTGGTGTCCTGGCAGCCCCTTCCCGACTCGGGTGGATGGGCGAGCACCTCTCTGTGTATGTGCTGCTCTGGCCGTGCTTGGGAGTAAGGACGAGAGCTGTCATCTGGGGCACACACGCTGTGTTAACCCTCGAGGGCAGAGAGCGACACTGGAGTCATTGGGAACCCACTCAGGAGGCTGGGGGGCGGGAGTGGGACTGTGTCTTGTCCGGAGATCTGCAGGTTGTGAAGAGCAGAAAGAGGGTTTGTACAAACCTCTGGGGCCTGAACTCTTTTCTGTGCTACCAGCGTTTCCCAAGAGGGTGAGAGGGGCCATTCCTGAAACTGCCATTAGCCCCACATTAGCTTCAGAACTGGCTCTGCCTCGATGGGCACAGGTACAGGCGTTGTGCAGGTAAACTCCCTCTGCTCTTCCCCTGCTGCCTGTGTGCCCTGCATCCCGGCCTGCCCGCTATGTGCCAGCACAACCTCAGTCCCTGGCTGAGCCCCCAGGGCCTTGTTGCTGCCAGGTGTGCACTGTGCCTGCCACCTGTTGGCATTGGCCAAGCGGTGCTTCTTTGGCACCCTGGTCTACTTAAGCCACAGTGCTGTGGCCTTATCTTACAAAGGGGGCTCAGATCCCAGAGGGGCTGCCCCACAGGCCAGATTTTTGTCTCCTGGAAAAGCTGAAAGATCTTTGAATCATGGCACAGTATGGAACAGCGGTCAGCGCCACCTCGGATGGCGCTCCTGCCCGGAACCCGCCCGTTAGCAGGCGCTTCGGAGTAAAGATTCGCCTCCCCCCAGGGCTGGGCTCGCTGCCACATGACGTCCCCTCGCTGGGTCCTGACAGTGACCCAAGATCCTGAGTATTAGGAAGCCGAGACACGAGGCTCCCCAGGTCTCCCCTCCTGGAAGTGCTTGGGGCTCCCCACGCGACCGACCGGTGTGCTGCGCTCAGCATGGCAGTTCCCGGGCTGAGGGGCGCCTGTCCCTCCGCGGGAAAAGCCAGACTGTTGGTTGGTTGGCCGCAGACTGTGCAGCCAACTTTGCTTTTCCCTGTTTTTTTTTTTTTTTTTTTTTTAAGATTTATTTATTTTATTTATACGAGCACTGGGTACAGTCAGAAACACGGGAGGGTGAGAGAATTCACCAGAGCTAGAGCGGGGAACAGAACAGGCAGACCAACGAAATGCACTGCTGAGGGGAGCCGCGAGGGGCAGGAGAGGTCTGTGCGCCATGTGGGACCCTCGCTGGCGGGAGCCGGGGATCGAACCGGCGCTGCAGAGGCTGCAGGCAGTTTCGCAGCCCGGTGCTCAACCGCTGCGCCACCAGCGGAGGCCCTTGCTTTTCCCTGTTGCAGAGGAAGTCGAGCAAAGCAAAGGAGAAGAAGCAGAAGCGGCTGGAGGAGCGAGCAGCCATGGATGCCGTCTGTGCCAAAGTGGAAGCCGCCAACAGGGTGACTCTTCCCTCCACCCCCACCCCCCGCCCCCAGCCGGGGCTTGGTTTTCAATTTACCTTCTTTTGGCGCCACCCTGCGGCGGACTGCGTTACTGCCCGCCGCGCGGGGGCGGGGAGCCGGGGCGGGGCAGCGGCTGGCCCAGGTGTGCAGGACCTCGGAGGTGGCTGCTTTTGTGGGTCTCCTTCCCCGTGGAAGAGGGTCTCCAGGAAATTTTGTTAGGATTTTGCATTTGGGGGAGGAAATTTCCCTGGTAAAATGTGGTGTAATTTTCTCATTTATTCATTTAAACATTTGTTGACGGCACGTCGGGTACCAAAGGCAGTGCTGGGGTGGGGTGGGGGCCGGTGTACAGTTAGGGGAGAAGCCGGAACCTCAGCCCTGGATGGGCCTGACTGGAAGCAGACGCGCCGGGAGAGTCTGGTCATCCTCCCTGCCCCCATTCCACATCCCGATTCTTGTTCTTTGATCCCGCTCAGCGAGCAGGTACATTTGTAAGGATGTGGGTCAGGGACGCGAATCTCCGTTTTGGGCTATGAGCACAGTTGGGGGTTTGTTAGAAGTACCAGGTGGATCAGGTGGCCTCCTCCGCCTCTCCTTTTGCCAGCAGGGGAAGCTCTTGGGCCGCCTTCCCAGAGCCATGTGGGCCTGCGTGCACCCGCCCCCCCCACTGCTGGAGGGAGAGCCTGCACCCCACACGTGTGTTTGCGCCACTCCTCTTTCTTTTCCTTCCACAGCTCGGGGACCCCCTGGAGGCTTTCCCGGTCTTCAAGAAGTACGACCGAAATGGGTGAGCGCTCTGCATTCCTGTCTGCGGAGTCTGTAGGAAGTCACTTTTCCGCAGCCCCAGGGTTTCTCCTTCTTCTTTGTTATGAAAACAGCGGGAGCCGGGCGCCCTAGAGAACCCTGCTCAGGGTGCCAGGGCCTCTGTGCCTGGACCATGGCCAGTCTCACCGGGGCTGATCCGCAGCTTGTTGTTCTCTCCACACCAGGAATCAGAGCTGACACAGACCCCCTCCTTTTGTTAGGGGGAAGCTGAGGCTCAGATAAGTTGAATGAGATTTCTGAGCTTACAGGGTTTCTCCTAGTAGCTGAAGGACTTGACTTTCCAGTCCACTGCGCTTTCCCTGAGTATGTGGCATACTTTTTTCCCTTTTGTATCCAAAAGAGCAGGTTTTTTATAAGAAAAGGGAAGGAAAAGACCCATGCACAGATACAGTTGGGCAGAAATAGCTGCCCCTGAAAGTGGTAGGTTTAAGAAAGAGACACCTGCGCGGCACAGGCGGGCAGGACAGCTGCCGAGGCATAACTTAATATTAAAGACTACTCGCTGGCTTTGTGACCCTGGACAAATGAACCTCTCTGTGCCTCAGTTTTCAAATCTGAATGTGTCTGATAATAGTGCCTGCCTCGTGGGGGATGCGGGGGGCTCATCAGGGAGACTAGCTGGAAAGGCTTGCGCCTGGAGCAAGCTTAAAGGTAGGTCCCCAATAGCTGTTACCACCAGTTGTTATTACTAATCCCATTCATCAGAGGATCTGGATTAAAGCCCCCCTGCTCTTTCTGTCCTTTTGGTTTATAAAACAGGAGGCAGAATCTGTTTTACAAAAGTGCTCTCGGTTGAGGAAAGACGGGTTTATGGTTTCAGAGCATCACAGCCGAGGCTGTGGGTTGCTGGGCTTGTCACTGTTCCGGACAAGTCGCTCATGCTCCTTGAGCCTCCTGTTTCTCTATTCAGTGGAGCGGGGGGCACACTTGTGGGGTGCCTTTCAGGAGGAAAGAGAAGATACTGAGCTCTGGATTATCAGCTGTGCAAGTGTTTTGAAAGTGACAGGGAGAGCCAGGAACCGCGCTTTGAGGTGGGGCAGCAGGGACGCCTTTGCCCCTCTCCCGGAGGCTGACTCCTTAGCGTCACATTGACATGCCCGCCTTGTGTGGTCACGTGCTTTACACGTCGTCATTCAGAGACCCTTGCCATGATGTCGCCTGGCCCCAATCTTCCTATTCCCCCAACTTGCAGACACTGTGGCCCCCTTGGGCTCCTTTAGTGCCTGGCATTTTGTGTGATCCGTGTGACTGTGATTTTCCTTTCAAGTCCTGAGCTCAGATGGATGGAGCGTTTATCTGGCAGGCTGGCCTCTGGAAGCAGGGCGGTGCTGTGGGGGCACGTCTCACTGCTCCGTGACGAGCACTGCCCAGAGGCTTGTGTGCCAGCCAGGTCCTAACTCACAAGGCTCAGCCCCTGTACCGCTCCCACGGTGCCTGTTAGTGGGGTGGGGTTCTGGTGCGAACCTCGCCTAGGGGTCCTGTTGAAAGTCCCCTTCATCTGCGGTTGTGGGGCACTTTGAAGAGGCAGAGTTGCTGCTTTAGTACTTTGAGGGTGTGGTAGTATCTAGAAGGTGTGATTTGCAGTGTGGCTGAGGGCTTTAACCATAATGTACCTACATTCCATTTAGAAGTAAATAACAGATTAAGATTCCTTAACATGGGGGGGGGGAAAGGAAGGACTAGTGTCAAAATAAGGGGGGGGTGCAGTTGTATGGGGAATATAACCAAAATGAAAATGCATACATTGTGCAAAGATGAAAAAAGATGTAAGAATTATATAAAATAAAATACTTAAATTAAAAAAAAAATTCCTTAACGCCTGTGACAGTCTTTAGGAAAATAGAGCCTGGGTTTGGGCCCATTCCACCCTGTTTGATGAGCCACCAGCACCCCCTACTATGTCCTCATGGATGGGCAGGCAGGGCTCCTCAGAGCGGGGTATGGACTGTGGTCTTCTAAAAGTGCCTGAGGTCACCCCTGGCTTCAGAAGGTGAGATTGGTAGATAGGAGGTCCCCAAACGTCCTTCAGACATGAAAGCAACGGGAAGAATGCCTCTAGCGGGAACTCGGGGAACCCAGAAGACTCTGTGTTTCTAACAAGGTGCAGAAGAGAGGTTGATGAGAGCAGAGGTGGCAGAGAGGGACAGAAATTTACAAAGTGCTGAGTCTGGCAAGGGCAGGGGCAGGCAGGGAATGGGCTGGCGGGCCTGGTGGGTGGCCGGTGATGACAGTTCCGTAGTCTTGTGGAAAGGCCTGGGGCAGGCGTTGGCGCTGGGCCTGCAGCTGCTTCCCAGCATCCTCTTCCAATTTTCAGGTTAAATGTCTCCATCGAATGTAAGCGCGTGTCCGGACTGGAGCCGGCCACCGTGGACTGGGCCTTTGACCTGACCAAAACCAACATGCAGTCCATGTAAGCCCCGCCGGGAGGGGAGGCGTGCCCTTCCCAGGCTGCCTTCCTCTCCCAGAGTTCCTTTGATGGCCCGCGTTTCTCAGGTATGAGCAGAGCGAGTGGGGCTGGAAGGATCGAGAGAAACGGGAGGAAATGACGGATGACCGAGCCTGGTACCTCATTGCTTGGGAAAGCAGTTCCATCCCTGTCGCCTTTTCTCACTTCCGTTTTGACGTGGAATGCGGGGATGAAGTCTTGTACTGGTAGGGAGCCAAGCCCGGTGTTGGGAGGGGGGGCTGAGGGGGGGACAAACCGCGCTGCTCTAGGCTCTCAGCGGGCGCCAGAGTCTGCCGGGCCTTCTGTGTCCTGGGACTCCCCTGACTAGCCCGGCAGCCCCTGCACGCCCGCCCTCCGCTCAGCGCTCTGCTCTGCTCCCCTCTGCAGCTACGAGGTGCAGCTGGAGAGCAAGGTGCGGCGGAAAGGCCTGGGGAAGTTCCTCATTCAGATCCTGCAGCTCATGGCAAACAGGTGAGGGTACCCCCGAGGAAGAGGCTCGTCTAAACCCTCTCAGTAAGGTGCTCCCCGTACTGCTGAGTCCAGCTTTCGGCTGAGCCCCACAGGGCGTCACGCGCCTCTGGGCCGCTCTTCTCTGCCTGCGTGTGGGCGCCGCACTCAGGTGGTCATGCCCCCCCCACATCTGGTCAGCTGGAGGCAGGGAGGCCCCGTACACCCTGGGGCCACATCAGGTAGGTCAGGCTGACGATGCTTTGCAGGGCAGGCAAGTGAGAGAAGAGCTGATGCAGTCTCTGTCTCTTTCCGGAAGGTGATCTCTCTGCTCTCTTCTCAGCACACAGATGAAGAAAGTTATGTTAACGGTATTTAAGCACAATCATGGCGCCTACCAGTTCTTCAGAGAAGCCCTGCAGTAAGGAGCTGGCGGCCTGGGACCCTCTGGGGGGTGGGATGGGGTGCCTGCCCCATGTCTCTGCCCGGTCTTGTCCCCCATTCATCCTGACACCAGCGCGCCCAGGCCAGGGGCCGTGGGTGTCGGGGCTTAGGACCGGCGTGGCAGTTTCCTTGCCTTGGCCCCAGCTGCTCTTGCCCCCTCACTGCTCGGGGTCTCATGCATGTGGTGGGTGGAGAGACCCCACTCAGGGAGCCAGGGAGGCAGCACCGTGACCCACCTTCCTGCCTGCCTGCTTGCAGATTTGAGATCGATGACTCCTCCCCCAGCATGTCTGGGTGCTGTGGAGAGGACTGCTCCTACGAGATCCTGAGCCGCAGGACCAAGTTTGGGGACAGCCAGCACTCCCACGGGGGCGGGCATTGTGGCGGCTGCTGCCACTGAGCTCCCACGCCAGACGCGCTCTCCTCAGGCCTGCCCTCTGCCCCGGCTCCCTCTCAGATGCCTCAGGTGCCCTCAGAGCTGCGCCCTGAGCACACAGGAGCCTGGGGAGGAGAGGTCCGAGCTTCCCTGCCTCTTCTCCTGAGAGAGCCGCTCAGCGGATGCTGAGGGAGGCGCCACAGGCCCACCATGAAGGACTGCGGCTCTTGGCTCCAGCCCTCAGGCGTAAGGTTCCCTGACTTCTGTGCGCTGACAGCCCCCCACACACTTGGACAGATGGAGTATTTATACCCACCTTTAGGAGAGTCCTGGACACCTCGGTGTGGGGTCTGACTGGTCCCCAAAGAGGAATGGACTCAGCATAAGATCTGACACAGAGCCCTGCATCTTTGTGGATGGAGACTGTGGAAGTGGGGTGCTCTTTCTACCTGTGCTTTTATGGACCCACAGTTAGGCTGAGTGGTCCAGGGGACCAGCCTGCTCTGGAGGAACCTCCCACCCTGGCTGGCAGTGCAGGGCTGAGGGCTGGGAGCCGGTGTGGTGGGGCTCCCTGCGCCTCGGGGCTTTTGGACTTCGCTGCATCTCAGCTTGACTTCTTGATCTCCTGGCAGTGACTTGAGTTTTTCACTCACTGACAGAAGCCAGCGGTCATGTCTGTCCCTCTCCCACTATTGCCCTGGCCCTAACCCCACCCCAGATACCTCCATTCCTGCTCTCAAGGGGGGAATAACATCAGGGAGCCCCTTGTCTTCCCCCAGAAGGAGCCCCCTGGCATGTCTTATGTCATTTCCCCACCTATCTTGGTGCTTATAGCTCTCTGAGAATGGGGCACCCTTCCTCTGCAGAGAGGCCCAGCCAGCAGCAGGCCCCACTGCCTGCGCCCCCCCCCCCCCCAGCCTCACCCCTCGCTGCCTCAGTGAGGCACTAGTGCCACTGCCCTGGCAGCAGCTCAGGCTGCAGCAGGACGCCTCTTGGTGCCCCCACAGCTGCTTTTCTCTCCGGTGGCGCCGATGGCAGCAGGCTGGGGCACAGGCAGGCCTTCCCCATGTGTGGGACCGAGGGTGTGGGCTTAGAGCACAAACTCGTCTTGATCTCTAGACCTTGTTCCCCCTCCAGGGAAGAAAATGACCAAATCCTTGCCCAGGAAAAAGCACCTAACGCCTCCCCTCCGACTTCCTTGAGCTCTGCTTAAGGGCTGTCTGGAAGGGTCTAGCCTTTGTGCAGTTGCTCTCAGAGTTCTGAGGGTCCATCAGACCTGCGTCTGCTCATATCTGCCCTCTGCTCCAACTCAGGGGTCTGTGCTGGTGGAACCCCCAGGGCTTCTTGCTTCTGACCCACATTCCTGCCTGTGTAGGGCCTGTGGGAGGGGTCTCCCCCCGCCCCCCCAAGCAGCTCTCACTGAGTGCCCCGCCTTGCTCTCCACCCCGCCAGCACTGGACACGGCACTCCTCAGAGAGGGCCTTGCAGCTTTACACTGGAATCAGTCCGCCTTTGCCCAGACCCCCGGCTCCTGGAGGGTGGCACCCTAGGGGGTTTTAGACTGCCAGGAGGGCGGGGGTGGGCTCCTTCCAAGAATCAGTGGAAAGACAGAAGCATGTTCAGGAAGAGTTTCCCTCTGAGCCCTGTCTCAAAGGACACAGAATGATAAATATTTATTGTCTTAGATCATGGATTTCTGATGCTTCTCAAGGGGACCAAAAGGCACCCCATCCAAAAACCCATGTAAGGTGAGTTTGGTGTATGTCGTCTCTCTCTAGCCATCGGGCCCCCCTCCGCCCACTGACTGGAAGATGGGGCGCTTCCCGAAGGGCTGCTCCTGAGACCAGTAGGGCACGCAGGGTAGCCTACGGCCCACAGGCCCCTGTGGGTGGTGAGCCGCTCCTTCTCAACATCAGTCTTTGCTCCCCCAGGTCTTGGTTTTAAGAAACATGGCAGGCCTTTTGTACCTGGCTCTTGTTTGTTGTTTGGGGCATGTTCAAATATTTTTAAACACTTCTTTTTTTAGTTGTATCCACCCGATTTCAGGTTATTTTTGTTGTCGAACGTGTATGTGACATGTGTAAAAGTTTCTTTTAGCCCTTTGTTTTTTTTAGAGGAAACTTTGAAGATGAAACTCCTTGGTATATATTTTTTTCTTTAGCTGATTGTTATCACTGGCATCAAAGGGAAAATGGTCTCTTTTTGCATTGGTTGTATTTGTAAGTCACAAATAAAAGACAGTTTGCTCAGCTGCTGGCATGTCTTCCTGATGCCAGGGTACCCAGACTGGCCCAGTGTGGGTCCTAAACACTGCGGCGTGAGCTGGGCAGGCCTGGCACCCCCATCCTGTGAAGGAAGCCCTCGTCCTGAGAACACCTCAGTGTCTGGCGGGAGCACCTGGAGGTGGGAACTGCCACCCAGTGCAGGTATTCGTGCCACTTCCCGGAAGTCCTGGGGATAGATTTGCTGTCTGTGACCAAATGTACAAACCAGCGTCCTGTGGGAGTAAAATGGGCCAAGGTGTCTTTTCCCCTTTGACTTGGGTTGTGCAGGGTTTTCTTTCTCTACTAAAGACTCCAGTGCCCCCTTCCTTCCATTCAGAAGACAAAGGCTCCACAGAAGGGCAGCTCACTTGGGGAGCAGGGAGACTCTGGCCCTAGAGTGTGAGGGGGGCAACAATCCCTCCAGACCTGCCCAGGGGAGCTGGAAGGAGAGGCAGGGATGGGCCTCATGCTGGGCCTCACTGGCAGGTGGAGGGCGTCCGATAAGGACACAGGGTCTGTGCTCTGGTGGGGTCTTGACAGGAAGGGCAGGCTGGGTGTTGCTGGCCAGTGTGCATGAGGTGGTTCCACAGCTCTGTCTTCATTTTGGGGGAAGACTTAAATGTGTTTTAATAAGTATGTGCTGGGTCCCTGCTCCGTGTCTCAGGAAAACTCCAAAGGCCTCCGGGGAAAGTGAGACACGGTTCACAGTACAGCTACGGGGCGTCCCTCCCGCGGCTAGGCCAGAGAAGAGCTGCCGTGGCCTTCAGCACATCGCAGCCCACTCCCCCGACTGCCAGGTTCGCCAGGAACAGCTGGAGCAGCCACTGTCTCACCTGGGAGGCTTCCCGTCCTTGGGAGGGGAATCCAATGGATTCCTCCTGTGGCAAAATTCCCCTGGGTTCTTTGTTCCTTGAAGGCTGTTTGATTCCCTGGTTGGAATTTGTGGGAATGGCGCTCCCTTTTCAGCAGGGCCACCGTTGCGCCTGGGCAAAGGGCCGAGTACAGGAGAGCGGTAGTCCGAGCCGGGACTCAGCCCCTCCATCCTCCACCATGGCTGCCCCCAGCTGCAGCCTCTTTGCAGGGTGGCCCTTGCTGCGTGAATAGCAGTGTCTTCCCTTCCCAGCAGAGCCCGAGGGGCACTGGGAAGGGAGGCGGCTCCCCAGTAGGATGAACGCTGGCCACGAGCAGTTCTGACTGCCAGGCTGTGGAGGCAGCCGGCTCTCATATGCTGGCTGACCCAGCGTTTCCTGCTGCTCCCTCTCCAAGGGCAGCAGAGGCCCTTCCATGCAGCCTGAGGATGAGGCTGTGGGGCCCACACGTCGTCACTTGGCTGAGTCTTGGTGTGAAGCTGGCATTTGGTGAGTCCCTGCTTTGTCAGTGTGTGCTGGGCACCATGGGATGCTTGTGCCTCTACCAGTCCTTTTTTTTTTTTTTTTTTTTTAAAGATTTATTTATGCATACAGGAACTGGGGTACAGGCCAGAGCTGTGGGGGGTGTATGTGAGAGGATTCATCAGAGACAGAGTGGGGAGCAGAACAGGCAGATCTGCTGAAATGCACTGCTGAGGGGAGCAGTGGGCAAGACAGGAGAGGTCTGCTGCGCCATGTGGGTAGCTCCCTGGCCGGCCAAGGATTGAACTCTCGCTGCAGAGGCTGCAGATAGCTTCACAGTGCTGTGCTTAACCCCTTGCGCTACCAGGGAGGCCCTCCACCAGTCCTTACAGCAACCTGTTCCACAGGCGGCGGGGTCATTCTCAAATGTGGTCTGAGAGACCCCGAGTGGAAAGGAACTTGCTCAGGAGCCTGATGGTGTGGCCAGGTGCTCTGGTGCAGGGCCTCTGGCCCTGGGATGTGGGAAAACGAGGAATGGGGAACTTGCCCTGGGCCAGAGACACAGCAGAGGTCGGGGCCCGAAGGCAGAGAGGGGGTCCTCTCGGGTTTGGAGTTGTGACTCCAGGCGGGGTGCCCAGAGGCGGAGGGGCTCTGGCTGCAGTGCCACACAGCAGGGTAGGGGTGAGGCGAGGGGCACTGGTAAGCTTGGTAAGCTTGGTTTGCAGCCAGAGGCTACAGCAACCCCACAGGCTTAGATGGCCACCCTCAGGGTGGGGAGGTCTTGAATGTGACCTGGGTGGTGGTGTGGTGTGGCTGGCCTTGGGGTTGAGTGGGGCCTGGGGAGCAGCAGAGGGTGCTGGTAGCAGTCGCAGTGGAGGGTCTTCTCCAGGCATCCCAGTTGGTGACTTACGCTCTATACTTCTTGGCCCCCAGACAAGCCCTTGGGGGTCTGTGTCCACCATGACAACCTGACAACTTGGGGGATGGGGAGGGGAGGCCTTGGTGGCCCAGTACCGCCCTGTACCACAGGGTATGACAGAACTGCTGTCTGCTTGCGTGCTCTCCTCTTAGTCATATATGACCTCAGACTGTGGGTTGTGGACTGGAAGGGGTTAACCCCCACTCAGCTCCCAGGGGCATCCCTCAGCCCACAGCCTCCCTGTACCTTGGTGTGCATGCAGACCCCTGGGGCGCCCTGGCTGGGACAGCTGTGTCAGGGCCACTGGTCAGCCGCCCCGGGAAGCGCTGAACCCCACTCTAGGATCTTGCTGTCCCTGTCCCACTTCCACCACCTGTTCCAGATCAGGTTTCCCAAATCTGCCCTCTTCCTGTGAGGCACACCCCTCCACCGCCCCTTTATGCTGCTGGACTTTACAGGAAAGGCTCACTTCACAGATGGGGAGACTAAGGTGCAGGCCGGGGAAAAAGCATCATTGACGGAATCCAGAAAATCGGTTAGACTGGCACTCTCCCCCGCCCTTTTTTGGGCCCTCCTCCTCCTGGGGGCACTGAATCCTTCCCGAGGCTCCACTGGGCCCTCCTGCTGCTGCTCCCACCCAGGAGGGCCAGTCCCCACAGGCTGGTGGAGAGGTCACAGCTGCCCGCCGTGAGAGGTTCCTTCACGTCAGGGTCTTACAGTTTTGGGTCAGATGCTTTGGGAGGTGGCAAACTCCTGTGCTGGGGGTGGGTAGGGGGCAGCTGAGGAATTCATACTGCTGGTCCCTCCCCAGCCTCATAAGATCATGTTTGAACAGAGCAGCTGTTGAGCCAGAACCTTGAAGGACAGGAATCTGGGCTTGGGGTGGGGACACCCAGTGTTTCTCTAGCCGATGCATGGCCAGTGGGGTCTGGGACTCTGGGGCCTGGGTTGTGACACTGGTCTCAGGAGGTGGGACTGTTATAGGGCAGGGAGAGGGGCAGCCCAAACCCCGCAAACCTGCCTCTTTTATATAGGGGTCTGCCATCCGCCGCATTAACCCCAAACATGAGACTTTAATGGAAGGAACTTTAATACAATTAGTGAACAATACAGGGAAGGCAAAGAATCTAGTTTCTAAATGAAGCACCCAAAGTGACCCGTCCCCTCGTGGGTAAAACTCCATCCATATGGGATTGGCCCAGAGCAAGGCCCCAAAGCCTGCCCCAAGTCCAAAGCATCTTCCAGTGGGGACCCCCAGAAAAGGGTCAGAAACAACCAGACAAGCCCGGAAGGAAAAGAGCAAAATTAAAATCAAGATAAAAGCTGCCATTGTCACCTCCCCACGGGTCTCACCCACATCTGTGTCACCCCGTCCACGACCAAAAGGCAAGCGCAGTTTCTTCACATGTCTCTGGGCTCCATGCGCCTCCTCCAGGTCTTCTTCTGGATCTCCATCCTGCTTCCTTCCTTCCTTAGTTTCCTCTGCATCCTCTTCTCTTCCTGCTCAGCTCCACCCTCCCTTGGGTGGGGCAGGGAACCTAAAACCTCCCCCTTTCCTGGGGACCCCCCTGTTACAGGACCAGCTCAGTCACCCGTCCCCAGGGTGGGAATCAATTCCTGATGTCGCATTCAGGGAGGAGGCATGGGCCCTTGCCCCTGAGCCAGGTGCCCTAGCAACGTGAGTGGGCGGTCCCTGTGGGAGCAGAAGCTTCACCCTTACAGGGAGCGCAGCGCTTGCCCAGGTGGACGCTTCTCTGGGTCCCTTCCTCCCAAGTGGCAAACATCCCTTATTGGACCACCCTCCCTTGTTTACTCCAGTGCCATCTTGGAAAATGTAGCAGAAAATAGACTCCAAACACCTCTTTTCCCACCACCACTGTGTAGAAAACACCGTTGCTCATAACTTGTGGGTCCTTCCAGACCTGTCTCTGTGCCTGAATATTCTCTAGATGTTTTTTCTGGTGGAGAAACAAGATCATGTCACATGTTGTTTCGCTTGCTTTTTTTTCTTGTCTGTTTACAAACGTTTTTAAGTGCAGTGGAACAGACACGCAGAGAAGTACACGCATGGCTGTTGCTGGGACCCTGGTGATGGTGTCATCATGGGTGGTGGGGGGACACCCCTATAAGCAGCACCAGAAGCCCTTTCTCCTCTCCCAGTATCCCCACTAACTGCTCCTTCTGCCCCAGTAGTTCCGCTTGTTGTTGTTACCTGTGATAGAATTGGGACCACTCAGGCTGCCCCTTGTGTCTGCCTTGCCTATGCAACATGACGATTATGCTTGTGGGGACCCTCTACAGCCCTCTGTGTTGCAGCTTCAGTTCTTTTCCTGCTGTGGTATAGTGTTTCCTCACATAACCTGGCCACATGGGTGCTCATGTAGCAGGACTGTCCCTGGGTTGGGGGAGGGGTGGGCTCCTGCAAGGCTGGGGAACAGCAGGGGGTTGGTGTTAAGCCAATAGACAGGCCTAGCTGTGGCCCCGCTGGGCTGCATCTCACCAGGCTCTGCTCCTCTGCCAGAGAAGGCACATCAGGGGCTGCAAGGAAAGCACCTGACAGAGCACAGAGGTCCCTGTGCCTCGCACACTTCTTTTCCTCCAGCTGCTGGTGAAAGAGTTGAAGGTGTGGTTCCCAGGGAGTACCCAGGGAACCACAAAAAGCCAGTCTCTTCCAGGCCTCCTGCCTCCCTGTCCTCTAATCTGGAAGTTACTACTTTGTTCACAATCCTCACCAAGTCCCAGAGGGTAGCAGGGAGGTCCCTGTCTGTTTTTCCCAGGACAGGCAGCTGGCCCCAGGCCTCCCAGGCCTGTGCCATGGCCCTTGGGATGGATGGAGGGAGTTTAGAAGCATCTGTCCTGGGCTGTTGGCCTGGGCCCAGGGCAGGGTGAGGGCAGGAGGCCTGGTCCCTGGGAGTGGGCCTGGTCAGACTGTGAACAGGTGAGGGCATGGGGGAGGGCTGGAGAAGGGCCCTGGGTCACTTGGGGTCTGGCAGCCCATTTCTCAAGATGCTCAGGCACCACTTGGAACATTCCACCTGGGCCGCCTTTCCTCCCTTGCCCCTGGGCACTGAGGTTTCTCTCTAAAGCGCCTATTTTCCCAGCCCCACCACCCCACCCCACCCCACTCCATGGGTGCTTTGATGCTGTTGACCATGATGTCAAAACTGGAATATCTGGAAACTATCTCCAGCAGCTTGTGGTGGGTGAAAGCATGGGCTTTGGAGCAGATAGATCTCCTCTGGAATCCTGGCTAGGCAGCTTGTGGCTACTTGACCTGTGCAGGTTATCCAGCTCCCAGGCTTATTTCCTCATTTGTAAAAAAAAAAAAAGAAAAAGAAATCATAACATCTTTCTTATGACATTGTTGTGAGAGGATGGAATGAGATCGTACAGGTTAGGCCTGGTTCAGGGGCTGGCCCCTCACCCCATTTCCTGTTCACTTGCCCACAATTTGCACACGTTCTCTGAGGGTCTGGTGTGAGCCAGACACTTAGCAGTCCAGTGAACCCACACAGGATCTGCCTTTAGGTGGCCCTCCTAAGGGATGGAGACCGATCTGAAGGTAGTACTGGCACGGGGGCTGTAGGCAGAGGGCGCCAGGCCTGGGGTGACCAGCAAAAGCTTCCTGCCGCAGTGCCACCCCTCACTTCCTATCACCTTGTCACTTTCAGTAGCTTCTCATATGCTTGTTTATTGTCTGTTCCTTCCCTTTGCCAGTTCTGTATTGGGGAATCTGCCCACTGTTCACATGTAGAACGGTTCCTGGCACACAGTAGGGGCAAGTAAACATTTGTTTAATGAAGAGCTGTCATCAGTAAGTGGAGGCCTGGAAGCGGGGGTTGGCATAGGGAAAGAGCAAGATGAGAGTTGAAAAGTTTCTAGGTAAAAGGTAAAATACAAAAAAGCAAAAGACTTGAGGAGGTGAAGGGACATTCAGACAAAGAGCAAAGGAAGCAGGGAGGAAGGCGTGGAATGTGTGAGTGAAGAGATGAGGTCTTAAGAGTGACATCCAGGGACTGCACTCTGACTGGTAAGCAGTGGGGAGCACTGGGAAATTTTAAAGCAACTATGACTTGGTCTGATTTATGCTTTAAAAAAAAGGAAGGGGGCCTCCCCGGTAGCGCCGCGGGTTGCTGATCCCGGGCCGGCCGGGG